CTGCGGAGGTGCTCCGGCGTCCGGCAAAAATAGGATCGATTCTATTTTTGCCGGACGCCGGAACAGAGGGCGCCGCACTGCCGGAGCACGGCCGCAGTAGTGGAATTGCTCTGACTACAACGGGACCGATTTTGCTCCGGCGTTCGTGTCGGAGCGGGGCGGAGCGGAGGTAGTGGAATTTGGGGGTAACTGTAATCTGCCCAAGCAGGACCTTTTTACAGCTCTAACCAATGCAGAAAAAAGTGGGATGCAAGTGACTGAACTCCAGTATATTGGTCCCTATAGGATCAATATTGTAAACCTATCTGGGTCCAGTTTGTTGGGAGAGCAGACGCTCTGGGATACCCACTTTTTCTTGGGAGGAAGTAGCAACATATTAACCCTCCCACTGTCTTCATGGGTAACCCCGCAAAGAAAGTGGATCATTGAGCAGGATTGATGGTTTATCCCTTGAGGTCCACGTGGCAGGGGTGAGGAGTGAGCACCCAGACAAAGGTCAGAAATTGGCAAAATTTTTGTTGGGTTGGGTCATGTGAGAAATATTGTATAATCGTTAACAAATGGAGATAGTTTAGCAGCTTCTCTGTTTGCAAAGTTTCCACAAAATGTCTTAAGTCAACCTTAAATTAGTTTGCCATTCACACATCTAACTACCTTTAGAAGCCACTGAGCAGGGTTTGAGACAAGTTCCTAATTTGTCAAGTGCAAAATTTTCAACATGTTTAAAATTCAACAGGACAAGGTTCTGTGACTCCCAAGGTAACTGCAAATCCTCATGAACATTTTTTAGATTTTCTGAAAACTCCAACACAAACGTCGTTGACAATTTCTTCCCAATAGTTGCAGTTCAGTATCATAATGGCTTAAAGTGGGAATCAAACGTGCATTTTTTTATCCAGAAACTATGTGACTAAATTGTGACAAGTTATTTTCACATTTGTGCAAATGTCATGGTGTAATTGTAAATAGTTCCATTTCAGTGTGACTCCAACAGAAGATTTGCACTTTCTCAAAAGTCCTGTCTCCACTCATAAACATGTCTTGTACAAACCAGAAGTAGGCAACACTGGTCTTCGAGTGTGTCTAGCATGTCTTAGTTGCCCTCCCCTGGTATAGACCGTAAGATATTTCATCTATTTTTTAAGTCATGATAAGTCTCCTTTAATAGTGCACAAATAATACTCCACAATAACTGCAAATTATTGTGATTCATAAATGACCCGTTTCAAAGTGGTTTAAATATTTTACCTGCAGCATCAAATGATGAAGCAGCTAAGTGAAGCAGCACAAGATTAACAGTTATCTCCAGCAGAAACGGTGTTCTTCTTCTTTTAGAGCAGGGTTGATGATGTATTTCTGCTGTGGTAAAGATGTTTAGCCCACACTGCTGCTTTACTGGTATTTGTCAATAACAAATGTTCCAATCCTCACAACCTGATTACAGAGCCAGCGCCATAATATGAGCTCATGTGAGCAGGTGATTGCTTGTAGGCAAGACCCTTGAATATGGCCATGGAGATGGTAAATGAGGTTTTTGGAGGGGGGTGGGTGACACAGGCCTGATGATTCGTGTTATCAATCAGGGGGTTATTCTTCAATATTTCATGTTGATGTAATCGTCCTAAAAACACATTAACATTGAGAGAGTACTCGGCGGGGAGATAATGGCTGGATGTTTGCAGCGTTACTCAGTCAAATCCCACCATCCTTGAATGACAGATGTGGCTTAAATACAGATGGAAGCTGTGGTAGGAGGAAAGATGCTCAGGCCAATTCGCAATTAGAAAGTAAAAAAAAAACAGCATAATTAGGAGGGGCTGGAAGTGCACGATCATTCAAACATACTCACATTTCTGCAGAATAACAGCTAACCAAATGCCTATTATTGCAATTCATATTCATGACAGCGGAATGGAGGTTATTATGAACCACTTTCAATCACATTTGCATTTACATTACAACCCTATAGTGCAAATATAAACCTATAACGTAGTGTGTGGGTATTATTTTGTGCTAATGTAGCAAGTACAAAACGTTTGAAGCTGAGCTCATACAAGGATATGATGATTGTCTCAAATGTGACTTTCGCTGAAGCTTAAAAATTAGCCTAGATACATAAAATATCTCCTATTTTCTTTCTGAATTTGACGATTTCTTCAGTAAGAGCTTCATTTGCACACTGGCACTTGTCAGCCAGAAGCATAAAGCTTTGTGGATGAGGGGGGAAATATCCCCTGCTGGATTTACATCCTGCCAGATCCAACCCTGTTTCAAAGCTGCCTGGATAAAAGAATGAAACGTAGAAGCAAAAATAATAATAATAATAATAATAATAATAATAAAATAAAATAAAACGGGGCAGCAAAACAAATATGTACCTCTCCTGGGTTGATTGGAAACTTATATGATGTAATAAACAGCCCTGTCCATGACAGACATTGAGTCTGTGCATATATGTTTAAGCCTCTCCATTTGTGCTCACTTAATGTTTGGTGACTCAAACAAAGCAGTTTTTGGTGTGACAAATATGAGACTAATTACACAGCTGTCTCATAAAGCTACTGAATCGGTGTTTGTAGTGAAATCTACACATTAAAGTCTCTAAATGCTAATAATTAAAAAAATTGTAAAGTATAAGATAAGTGGCTCTTGTGTGTGATTAAGAGTGAAAAACCTTTGTTTTTCAACAATCTATTCTAAGCATTGATAGAAGGACAAAGGTCAAGTCAAAGAACCATGAATCCAACATTCTGAGCAACTTGTAAACCAGTAGGCCGCTGAACTCTCATTTGTGTTAATCAAACTTCTCTAAATTGTTTGTGTAATGAAATTACAGCTGCCAGGGAGTCCTGGGGACATCAATTAGTCAGATAAGCAAATGAAAATAAATCACGGCTTTTATCAAGTGTGCCTGCTTGTGTGTCCAGTAAACAGGAAAAAACAGGGAAAGATTTTGTTGAGTGATTTAAAGGACTATAAATCCCAGAGCTCATTGTCTTTATTTATAGAGCTGTGGGAAACAGTAATTTACTTCCTGACTGATGCTAAATATAAGGAGAATATTTTTTATCACTAATGATCATGACAAAATTTACTTTTTAAACAGTGCTGACATTTATTTTAATGATAAACATCTGCGGAAATTAGTTTACTTGCAGTCAGAATGTCAGCTGTTAGAGACATCCTGTTGCCCAGAAGCTGCTGGAACCGGACCCTCATTTGGATAACGCAGCTACAGATAAAGGGTGATAGATGAGTAGATGAATTTTATTTTTGTACTCAGATTATACTGTTACGAAGCTGAATGGCTACATTTATCAATCTGCACACAGAAAAGAACATAAATGTTAATTTCTGGATCAAAAAACTGCCATACTGGGTTGATAAAATTTCTTTCAGAGATGTGTTTGATATTCTCAAAAGTTCAGAAAACTTCACTGAGTGACTGGATCTACGCCACTTTTCAGTGTTTTTATTTAATTATCCTTTACGCAATTATTTGCTCAAAGATGGCTCAGTCATGCGAATGAAATACAGGAAAAGCAAAGTAGAACTTGAACCTCAAAAACCACAAGCTCATCTGCTTACTTTCTATTTTCAGATGAATCAGCATGTAACAAAATAAAGGTAAAAATCTTGACTTAGATGATTGTAATTCCTCTTTTATTGTTACATTGGAAGCCAGGAGTCATTGGTCAGTTGCCCTCCAGGCAATGCCAGTGAGTTCCCAGTGTCATGAAAAAAGAAAACTAGCAACAATGCAATGAGGGAAATTTAAATGTGTGCATTGATAGGAGAAGAGTGTCAAGTGGGAGAGCCACAATGTGGAAAGACAACAAAGCTAATGGATGTGATCACAGCTTCCTGGTGAATAATGCAGCCCTGCTAATTGGCTGAATTAATAATTGATTCAAGGCTGTTGGAGGAGAGAGCTGCAGTGGATAAAACGTCGGGAGTACGCAGAATGTTGTATCGTGTGCATCTGTCTCTGCTGGTAGTTAAACAAGCTGTTTCCTCCCCCTATTGACGCTTTGACTGCAGGGGAGGACAAAGATGTCCAAGTAAACAATCTGCCTGACAGCGTAATTACATAATAAGCCCCGGCTCCACCACATATTTGACGATTAAAACATCTTGGGATCATGTCATGCCCCACAAAGTTGTCACAACAACAGCTCAAACTAACCGTGGCTGAACCAGAGACAGCCAGCTGCACAAATAAATGAATAATGCAGAAAATAAGGGTGCAAACACAACAAGGTCAGGTTTACATATTTCTGATATAAGACTGATCCAACTAATATTGAGTTAAATGTATTAATTTGCAGTGAAATAAAAGGGTATGAACCACCTCAGATATAACACAGGCATGGCAAAAAGAATCACATTTAGGCAGATAAGAGAAATAGATTTTACAGTAAACTTGATTTATATGCTGCATTCAGAGGATCCAATTTCCAGAGGGCACATAAAATCAACCAATAAAGAAGTCTTGTCTTCCATGAACACCTTCATATTCCTGCTCTGAACTGACAGGAAGCAGGAAGATCAATAACTCAGGGTGTGTTCAAGGGATTTCTGACATGCTAACAGAATTAGTTTCAGAGTTTTACAAGATTTGTAGTAGGCTTGTGTATCTCTGCTCTGTACCTGGTAGGTATTCTGATAAACTGCCAACAATTCAAATCAACATGAGCAACAAAAACCAATTAGATACGACAGACTCAACCTTTAATCACGATAGTGGAAAAGAGTTGAACACTAACAACAGCTTACAAGAAATACATTTCTTCATGCACAAACATAAGCCACTCCTTTTCACCTTTTTAATATATATAATTAAAAGAATTGTGGTTGTGATGTTCCGGGACTCCGCGAAAATATCGCTGCTGCGCAGAAGAAGTGCAAGTCCTCAGTGAGTATGCAGCCCGCTAACCACATAGTAACATGTATATATATATATATATATATATTTTTTTTTTTTTCTTGTAAAGCACCTTGTGATTTTTATCTTGAGAAAAAACTTAATTTCGTCTTATTTTTTTGCTAAACTTGTTCTTGTCCCGAAGAGCCCAATGCAATGGTTGTTTCAGAAATGAGAAGCGACTCATTGCACCAGTGGTGGTTAAATAACTTGTTGCTAGCCGAAAGATAGTTAAATCCAGTTGGTGACTTTATTTATTTTTGACCAGGCAATGTATGCTGCTTTCAATATCATAAAACTAAACAAAAAAAACACAATATTTCACTGTATTGATATTTTCTTAAACCCCGCTATGTCCTAACCCCAAAACTCCTTATCATATATCTGTACCAATCTGCTGTCATTTGCATCCCTAATTTTTAAACATAAGAAATGGAAAAATAACACACTGAGCTGCAATGACCATCATTTAAGTCTGTATGACAAAACGTATACAAGACTAAATGCAATAATTAATTTGAATATTGGGCTTTTGTTGTTGAGACAATCTGAAAACTTTACTAAAATTGCTTTTAGATAACAACAATAACAAATGATTGATGAATAACTCTTATTTAAGGTGAAAAATATTTACCACAACTTCCATGCTGTTTGTTTGAAATTCAGAGTGCAGGGTTTAGAGAAAAACAAGTTCCAATTGCAACTTTATGAAGATTCAACCACTAAAACTCATTAAAAATCCTTCTAAACATGCTCTGTGCTTGGGCATGATTAAATTAATGGCACTAAGAAACTAGTGACCTTTTAGTAACATTTTGTAATATTACCAGAAAACTAAGCATGGTGTGCTCAAATGATCATTTGCAGCTTGTGGTTGTATATTTAATGGACAGATATAAGAATGGTAATGATCTTCACATCAAACTCTCTGCACGAACCAAATGAGTACATTTCACAAAATGAAAGGTTTCAGCTTAATGGGAAGTTTTATTCATACACAGTTATACAATTGTATTACGGGAAATGTAGTACTTACAGGTTTTACATCCACATTTTCTCTGCCATCGTTGTTCACATCTGAGGAAATTTGTTTCCTGCTCAACTCAATTACATGCAAAAGCTTAAATTCGTAAGACTGATGGCATAAAGAACACCAAGGATGTTTCCTCCTCCTTCTATTAGCTGGACGTGCTTCTTTGACAGCAATCTCCTTCCTGTCTAAAATACAGTCAGCCCTAGTTACAGTAGCAATTACTAGTGTTCAGGTTAAGATAAATTGAATTACTATGTGGTTTCTCTGCACTCCACTGTGGGCACATCGATCACTGCACAGGCCCTTTATCACCCTTTCCCATCTTTATGTAAAAGGACGAAGGTTGTGCTGTTGCACCCCATCTATCAAAGAACGAGTCTGGGGTGGCAAACACGATTTCTAACAGATTTCTCTCTTTAATCAAGCTTCCTGACATTCTCGGGTAGTTAGTAAGATCTCTAAGCCACATTTAACTTGATTTTAAAAAATGTTAAAAAAGAGGTTTTGTAACAACCGCTGTTTGACCTGAGTTATGAAAGAGAAATCTTACCAAATTGGTGCTTGTGATAAATTGAATTTGATAACTTGTAAAGAAAAATCCAACTATACACATTACTGAATGGTTCTTTTATTAAATGCAGCCACTCACAAATCCAAAAGCATTTGTTTGAACAGCTGGATTTCTACTTGAAAAACCAGGTAGCTTTTTCAAAACCGCACATGCAATGGATCTGTGGTGCTTCTGTTTGAATAGAAAAGCTCTCACAGCAGATTAAATGGCACTCTGTCATTCTCCCTCCATTCACCACCTCCATTATTAGATATTTAAAAAATTGTGCAGGATTTCTGCTCATGGTCTACAGTACTGTCAAACCCTAATATCATGTTTTAATTCAATCATCACTACTACGCCAACCTTTGTTCGTCATCTAGCTGAAATATACAGAATCTGTTGGATGTAGAGGTGTTGACAGCCTGAAAATGACATCTTAAAAAAGGATGTTGGTCTCTTTGCTGGTCTTGCCAAAAAATGCCAATCCGCCAAACAGTGCCACACATGCGTGCCTCAAACTTTGCTACTGTATAACTCGATTTTTTTTTCTTTTTACAAAGACAAAGGCTTTTCAGTCCAGCCAGGGTTGTGCCTGAGGTGGCGTCTGCCACAGCTCCTGCCCATGATGGCTGGGTGGGTTCTGCCAAGGCAACTGGGACGGCCTGTGGCCCCGATGGAACAAGCAGAAAGGACTGTTTGCTGCCATCCTATCACCACACAGGCAGCTGCAGATAGCCCACATTGCAAGTGTGACGGAGTACATGCCTTTAAGCATGGACACAGAGAGGGAAAACAATTCTGTGTAAGCCAATAAGCTTATGAAGTACACTTGAAAAAGCCTTCCTGCTGAGTGAGGACACACAAAAGGCTGGAGAGATGAACTACCTCGAGTAGCAACCACTTTAACCGTTTTCCAGTTTGCATGAGCTTGGAATACCAGACAAAGGTGTGTGCCAGGATGGATCAGTATCTTTAACACTTAAGCTCGGTTTATGCTTGACGCATTCACTTTCCGCTTAGTGATGCGGCTCGCGGATGGAACGCGCTTCACAACTTGCAGTGTTTATGGTTCATGCGGCTTGTCTCTGCGGTGAGCCAATATTCTCCCAAACTGAACGGGGCAGCATGGAGCTCTACAGCATGCATCCAACACTACACCATAGTAGAAGTAAAAATGACTATTTACTACATGGCATTTGAGCATTTTTAACAGCGTCCTCGTCTTTTCCGACAGTGCGAGCTATTTCTCTCCAAGAATTATTAACAACATGTTGATCACTGTGATCTCTGAGAGCTGAATCATACAAATGTCTGTATTTACGAACCTCTGCCATACTAGTTCTTGCCGGTCCGCCATGTTTTTCCGCGTCCGACCATCCGCGTGGTTAGAAAATTTCCTAGGTGCGCGTTGCGGAAATTTTGGGCTGTGCGGAGGCGCGGTGGAGGGGCGTGGTTGTTAAAATGACGCAAAATGACGCAACTTTTCCGCGCAGAGCCGTGCGGACCTCGCGGACGCGTCAAGCATAAACCAACCTTTAACTGCCACTCACAGCCTTTCATGTCAGAGCGATCATATGTTGAGAAATGATGTGATTGTAGCCATTTCGGAGCAAAGATGACATCACAAGATCTCACAATCAATTAGCACTGGGCTTATGCATGTTAAATGACAAGCACACAGAATTTTACCTGAATATTCGGTGCCGTGGGAACATATTTTCCTAAGGGGGTGCTGTGATGAGCCACATACAAAAAGCCGCACACGTGTTTAACATGTTTATATATATTTATGTGTAATAGCAGTAAGCCTTAATTATTCTTGGTTCATTCTTCAACATAACAGCAACTTATTGCCATCAACACTGGGAAAACCCCACAAATGACAGGTCAAAACTTCTGGAATCCACACCGAACCGCGCTGTTGGCAAGGGAGCTGACTGATGGGTCTGCAGGCTCTTCAGACAACAGATCTGATACCGAAGTGTTTATCAACAGAAACAGAACCACCCTCCAAGATCACCTCCTTAAGTAATGGAAACTAAAAACAAACGGAACAATTCCATCCGTTGTTTATGTACACGCGACACCACAGAAAAACTGTTTCAAACAAATATCAGCAAACATCAGTGCAGTAACGGTTCACCTTTCAAACTAGTTTCTAGTTCCATTTTGCATGCTTTTTTTCAGCAGCGCTTTGGGTTTTGCGTCTGAAGGTTTGAGCTTTGACAATGTTTAAACACAAGAGAAAAGTGAAAAGGTAATGCATATCTGAAAAAAGTGCTGCTGGTGTGAAGTGAGGGGTTTTAGCGGTGTTGCGCTGGGACAAGCTCATCAGCGGGGACAGGAGTGTGTGTTGTGCCAAAGCTGGAGCGCATCAGTAATCTGCGCTCCCGCACAGGGGGAGGAGACGCAAGTCTGCTCAAATGCTGGAAACAAAACTGTTGAGAAATAGGCTGGTGTGTTTTTGTGTGTGACCCAAAAAGGTGGCTGCGTACGCTACACATGTAAAAAATAAAGTTCACTACTTTGTGGATTTTGCGGTTTATTTTTAGAGCGTAACTCACACGATTAAGAGCCACTGTAACGAGCACAGATCTGATCAACAAGCCATCAACCTTTCCACACAGAGTGAACAAAGAGCAATAATCAAATTGGTTTTACTTACTTTTATGATGACACTCCAAAAGTGTTCCTGCGCTCCAGAATTGCGCTGATGAAACGCTGCATAATCATGTCTCATATATTCAACTGTTCCACAACATTTCCACGCAGGTGCACATGTCTGAGGTGTGTAAAGTTACCACCCTTGTTCTACGTAAACAAATGTTACGCCGGTTTACACCTAAGCGGCGGCCGCATTGGTTAACGGAAAACCAACATGGAGGTCTTCGAAAAGCGATGACTATGAGTAAAATATTAGAAAAACGTCTTAATACATTAACAAATGGAATTATAGAAAATCCAGTGGATTTCTCATCCCGATAACTAATCAACAGGCAACTAAACAAGTGTCCCTTGTGTACACACATATCTTACGTCTTATATATAATATAGCTCAGTGTATGTTTGACATACAAAAATGTTTTTCTAAATAATATTACGTATTTGTAGTTGTGATCAATTAAACTCAAAACAAAATCTAATAAAATACTTTTACTTACAGAATACCAACATGCAAATAATTTGTCACCCACAAGGGGCTGCTGCAGCACCCTCAGCAGCCCTACGTCCCAAGGCCTTGTGATATTTATAAAAGTGACTGATTTATAGCTAAGGTCAATTGGTTGTGGGCTAGGGTAGGGTTAGGGTTAGGGCTGAGTCCAAAGGTCAAAGGGAATGTTTTAAACACAGACCTTGCATGATTCCTCAGTGCTAGGAGTAGGGATGTGTATTGGTAAAAATCTGGCGATACGATACGTATCACGATACAAGGGAGGCGATACGATATATTGTGATACTTAAAGCCAGACAATATTGCCAATTTTTAAGACTGAATTTATTGTAGGAAAATGCCATTAACAGTCCAACTAATACTTAGCATGCTTAACATGAGGTATTTGAAGCCAAACTGAGGGATCTGTGTTTCAATGTAGGAAACAAATAATGAATAGAGAAATTAATCTTACCTTATGCAAAGAGGTCATATAAAAAATAAATTAAAAAGGTTTTCCCTCAAACACAAACCCATTTCAGTCAAATGTCAAGTATTTTTAACATGAAAAAAAATGTAAACAATTTCACATTCAGTATTTTTTATTCTAATACATATCCAACTTTGCAGCATCCAAAACAGCACTTTTTATGTTACCTGAAAATATAATAAACTAAAAATAAAGTGCTTGAAAACTTCTTACAGTAAACTGATGAGATAAAGTGCTATTAAAATAAAGTACAGCACTGCAATTTTGACCAATGGAAGAATATGTGCAACCTGAACAAAATAAATTTAATCTTCTGGCCACATTAATACAAGTACTTCTTTGGTTGAACAAAAATATGTGCTTTTAACATTTTCAGATCTGAACATGTTTCCTTGGAGCTCTAAATCTCCAGATTTTTGTGCAGGAACACAAGCTGGTCTACATGCTCAGCTTTCAGGAGGCTTCTCTGTGCAGTCACTATGTCACCGGCAGAGGAGAAAACTCTCTGCAGAGACACTTGTGCCAGGAATGCATAGCAAACTCTTTGCTATTTTGGAGAGCTGAGGATAGTCTTGTTCATGGTTCTTCCTCCAACTGAGAGGATTTTCTGTGAGAGGCAAAGGGGCCTCACCTCTATATTTCTTGATCTCACCTGCTGCAAGATCATTTTCTGATTTTGGTTCAGTATTGTCACTACTAGTAGAGGGAAATGTAGCTCCAAGCAAGTCCACCAAAGCACATGAGGTCCTTGGTCTCTTCAAGGGTGTCTGACTGATGGAAGCACAACTGTCGTTCATGTGAGCATCCTCTGCAACATTCTCCTCCTCCACCTGAAAAACATAATATCAAGCAAATATTAGGGTTACACCTCATACTAATCTGCATTATATATGTAAATATTTTTTCTAAGTAAATTTAATAAGTTATTTACTTACATTTTTTTTTATCATGCCAACCACTGTCTCCAACAGTCTGGAATAGATGTCCCTGGTCTCAGCTTCGGACAGGAAGGGCAGGTCCTTAAACCGAGGATCAACAGCTGAGGCCATGCGTAATGTCTCCTTTTCACTGGCATATCTTTTCCCCAGATCTTCTGCAAAGGCAGCCTTTATGTCCCTAACTGTTGGTGTATAATCATGGCTTCTTGTGCACCCATCATGAGCTTGGCATGAAGAGGAGCAATGACAGACAGTGTTGGCACGTTCTCTTTTGGCATCACCAAGGTGGCGTACTTCATCGGTTTGAGTGCCCTGACTACTTCTTCTGCACACATGATGTCAGACTCATTTAATGTGAAGACTTCTTTTGCACTCTTCCTGACGTCTGGAGAAAGCAAAGCTGCACAGATGGCTGGCTGCTGTTCTAAAAAGCGTTCTATCATGTCATAAGAGCTGTTCCATCTGGTTATTATGTCTGTGATCAGTGTGAGCTGGTAACTGAAGGAGGCGCTGTTTTTGCTTCAACTGATCGCTGGCTGTGGTGCTGCATCTGAAAAAGCCTGTTACATGTCTGACTCTCCCCAGAAGTCGAATCACAGATTAGGGCTGGGCGATATGACGATTTTAGACCGTTTTACGATCTACACATCTGACGGTCTGTCATTTTTGAGAGACCTTTTTATCACGATTCACAGCTCTGCTGTTGAATTTCTGCCTCTGAATGAAAAGGGAACTTAACCCAGGCGAATGACACGCCTTTGTTTGACCCTTAACCAATCAGAGTGAGTCATAGTAATATATTAGTGCCCCGCTTGTTTTCACCTGTGTGTGAACAAACATGGCTTCGGCCGTGGCTGAGAGCGACAACGAGGTTTTCGTTCCAAAGAGGAACGCCTTTTCTATAGTACTGACCGAGCACCGATTCACGTCATTTCAAACGGTGCCTCGTTTCGGTACCCATCCTTCAAAACGAGAACTTGTCAAGAAAGCTGCGCATACGCAAGAGCATTATGTCGTTGGTCCCTGCGAGCGAGTTGTAAACAGAGCAGCATGGGTAGAAAGAAGAACGCACGCTAACGCTGGGGTCCACTTCACTAAATGTGATGGGTAACTGGGTGATGATGAAACCAGCGACAGACAACAATCTAAGTGAGACATCCTCATCTTAATCTGCTCCGGTAGGTAAATAAAATGTTTAAGATAACGTTACCTTCATATGTTAGCTTCCGTTTCGCTAATGGTGCGTTCGCTTTCTCCTCGGAACTCCGAATTTCCGACTAGATGAACATGAACGTGCTCTAAAGTTTGGCTTCACATTACTAAATACGACGGGTGATTGGGTGAAGATGAAACCAGCGACAACGATCTAAGTGTGAGGCATTATCGTTTAATCTGCTCCAGCAGTTAAATAAACTGTTAAAGATAACATTAGCTTGATATGCTAGCTTCCATTGCCACCGTTGTTATCAGCTAATGGTGCGTTCGCTTTCTCCTCGGAAATTCTAACTTCCCAGTAGGAAAAATCAAATGAACAAAGACGGCCAAAGGAATGAAGATACACAGTAAATTTAGTTCACAGTAAAGATGTTTGCTTCAGTTTAATTATCAGCTTATAAAACTACACGGACGATATTAAAATACAAACAGTTGAATGTTATTTATTGTGATATTTATCAAATATTGTTATATATTGAGAAAAATATATATTTAATTATAAAAGAGAATTAAAATATGAAATACTCAAAAGTATCGAAAATTGGTACCGTTAAGTACCGGTATTGATTCATAGGTACCGGGAATTAGTACCGGATCTATTCAAATGTCAAAGGTACCCATCCCTATCCATTATATGGAACTGGTTTGGTTTTTCACCAGATGACAAAGAGCAGCGAAACGTCATTTGCAAAGTTTGCAAGGAGAGCGTCAAGGCAAGTGATGGCAACACCACAAACTTTAATCACTTGAAAAGAAAGCATCCCAAACAATACAATGAGAGCCAGCTGGCAGCTTAAGCTAAAAAGCCTGCGGCTGCAGCGGCTAGTGCTTCTTCCTGGCAGCAAACGCTAACATAAACACTCACAAAACTCACTCCTTACGACAGAGACAGCAGACGATGGAACAGCGTGACAGATGCAGTGACGTACCACTTGGTTAAAGATTTGTGTCCCGTGCGAACAGTAGGAGCGGGATTTAAGAAAATGATAAAAACATTGGATCCGCGCTACGAGTTTTCCAGCCGCAAGTATTTTTCGAACACCGTCATTCCACGCATGTACACTGAATGCAAAGTGAGAGTTGCAGAAAATATTCAGAATGCGCAGTTTTTTGCTACCACAAGCGATCTCTGATCCAGCCGCACATCAGAGCCTTATTTGAGCTTAACTATCCACTACATGAGCAACTGGGAGCTACATAGTATTTTGAACAAGTGAATGTTTGCACAATACGTTTGCAATTGACATGTTTGCACTTTAAATATGTTTACGATTTTAATTTATGTTAAGTTACTTGAAAAATGAGAAAAACTGATTTTTGTATTTGTTTCTCTCAGGGCTTTTATCATCTCTGGTGTGAGTTTAAAATATAAGTGTGTTAGCACTGTGTTGATTATCCCTAATATGAATAAATGTTTGTTTATTCAATGTTTCTCTTCTTTAATATGCAATTGAAGTTATGCTATTCATGGATAAAAAATCGTGATAAAATCGAAATCATGATAAAATATTGGAAAAATCGTGATATTCTATTTTTGCCATATCGCCCAGCCCTATCACAGATTGTGTTTTTAGTGCTTTCTGGGAGGCAAGATTCAGACTGTGCGCAAAACATTGTATGTGCGTCATGCCTGCGAGTCTGGCTGCGACAGCCATGTTTGGTGCGTTATCTGTTACAATAACGACTTTCTTTGTGTTCAATAGGGCTGCAACTAACGATTATTTTCATAATCGATTAATCTGTCGATTATTTTTTTCGATTAATCGATTAATCGGTTTGTTATTGTTTAGCTATTTAACCTATACAAGTGATGAATACATTTCAGTTAAGAAAAAGAAAAACATAAGAGAATTGTGCAGTTGACTGCAATCTATTTTATTGCACATGAACACAGTCAGCGGTGTAAAATGAGCTAAACAGTGCAAAATATCAGTCTAGAATAATTTTTTGGCATCAAAATATAAGAGGTAAATTCCATAAAAAAATAATGTAGAATCTGGAATAGAGTTTGTAAGTGGTATGCATTGCTGGGGGTGAGTGTCTTGTTCCCCATGTAGTTGTCCATCGTTGCTTGTTTTTTTCTGCATAAGAAACACAAATAAACTGAATTAAGTACACATATAAAATAAAGCAGCACACACACTACAACACTAAATCAATATTACATTATTTGAATTAATTAACAATATACAGTGATCATTTAATTTGACAAAAATGTGTTGCGAGGCGTTTTACGGCGTTAGATAGTAAAACAGCCTTTTAATAGTTAAAAAAAGGACTTTCTGAATTTCTCCTGTATTTAAAAATTGAAAGCGTACAACTATGCCGCATTATATTCACCTGGACACAGCTCGTCTGTATATTTTTCACCGCGGAGTTGTCCTTTTTTGAATGAGGAACATAGTTATGGGTTTGTGCCGTTTTTCTCTTAACGAGAACATTCTAATAAACAGACGTGCTGAATTTGGCAAGCGCATGATTCACAACACGGAGGAGATTCACGATTGCATCTAGTCAATCAGAAGTAGAACACGTAAACTGACGCGGCAAAAAAAACATGTTTAACATCCACTATAACGAACTCAGCTAACACTAAGTCCCAAATGTGATCTGCGTTAGCTTGTTTATTTTCTGTTACTTACCGGACATTCCTCTGCTGCATCAGCCCCCACGTTTTCGTCTCAAATGTTCACTTAGGGACGTCGTGCTTCCGTCGTGCCATGGTTTTTGCATATTTTGCAGGTCACCGGTCTTTTCAAGGCATCTAGTGAAGTGCTCCCATACTCGTGAGGTTTTTGTCCGGGGTTTCTCTTGTTTTGTCGCTTCTATTTTTCTTCCGTATTTCTTGTTGATCCGCCATCTCTCACAGCAAGATGAGCGTCAGTAACGTGATACGTCATGAAAACCGAGGGCACTTATTGGCTCATTTCTTCTTCTACGGCTCCACTGGTAGATCAGTGGCTCATTACTGCCACACACTGGCGGCAAATTTAACAGCTTGTAACCGATGTCAGATTGTGGTAAAAATAGACTTTATGCGGTAAAATATGATTATTAAACAACTAATCGATGACTAAAAAAGTTGTTAACTATCTTAATAATCGATTATAATCGATTAAATCGATTAGTTGTTTCAGCTCTAGTGTTCAACCCCCATTCAGTCACAGTCTCCTTCAGTAATGCTGCAATGTGTTCACCTGTGTGAGTTTCATGCATGGCTCAGGTTTGTAATGCATGAGACTGAAGGATCCATTCATCATTTATGTGATGTGCTGTAACAGTAACGTACGATTCAGTAGCTCTAGAAGTCCAAGCATCGCACGTTAAAGCGACCGTCTCTGCTGAGCCGAGAGAGTCCAGGACTGTTGCTTTGACTTTGTTGTACAAGTTTGGAAGAGTGATGTCCGTGATGTGTTGTCGTGAAGGAACGGCGTAACGTGGCTCCAACGTTTTAATCATATTACGAAAACCTTTATTCTCCACAACACTCGGGACGCATGTCTTTGCAAATAAAAACAAGTACTGATTTCGTTATCTTGACTGCACGAGTTGAAGTCGCTGGTAGTTTTGAAGTGTTAGCTTCCTCTATCGTCCGTTGAGTAGGATCACGAGCTTCGTTTTAAGTGTAGCATTTGATGCTGACATGTCTCCCCAGCCTTCATTAGTGTCTAAAGTAGTGATTCATCACTAAATTGCAACAAATCAGCTGTGCTCAAGATCTAAAGCATGCAGGAAACAGCAGACTGCAGTGCCAGGTACATAAGCTCAATAGAAATGACCGGCACTCTGAAGTTGCAAATGTCGTATTCTCACCACAGAGGGCTGTTAGGGGTCTGAGTTATTTAACCCTGTAAAGGGTCATTTTAGCACATACTGACTCAAGAAATTTTTTTTTAAAATATGAAAATGTTGCAAAGTATCCCTTTAACAACGCTACTCTAAACGCATGTTACATTATAACTATTCCGAAAATTGTACGCATGAAATCATACCAGTTTTAGCAAATCTGCATTGGCTCCCCATCCAGCTCCGGATAGAGTTTAAGATCCTGGTTTTTGTGTTCAAATCCCTCAATAACTTAGCACCTGGCTACTTGTCTGAGCTCATTCACCCTTATGTCCCTACGAGATCCCTCCGATCAGCCAATCAGCACCTCCTCCATGTCCCTAGCTCCCGCTGTAAATCCCACGGGGATTATTATTATTCAGTTTGTGCACCGAAGCTCTGGAACCACTTGCCCCTCTTGATCTCTCTTCCTCTCTTTCCCTTTTTAAGTCTCATTTACAAACTCACTTTTATTTTATTGGAGTTCATCCGAGTTTGCTTTGCACTGCAAAAAAATAAAAATAAATACATTAAAGTCTCTTTCCGGGGTATTTCTCTTATCCGATGGCACCATCTAGTGGCTGACAAGCATATCACACAAAAAGTCTGTCGCTCTTTTTTTTAAGATAGCGACTTCACGTTTCTTATTTATAAATGTGCTTCTGTAGCCGACAAACAGAGCTAAACCACACTGTTTTATTATTCTCATGTCATGCTGTGTTTTCATATGTTTATATTTTAAAGACTTTCTTGTCCGTGAAAAGTTCATCAACTCTGCATCAGCCAAGGTATTCCTTAAATTTGAAGCATCTAAGCGGTAGCCTAACGCTATTGGTTAGTTCTGGTCGGCGCTCCGTTTCCTATTGAACGGAGCTCTGCGGGGCAGGGGGTGTGCTTAGCAACAAATAAAATAAGACCTATTGCTTACATTATATCACAGTACATGTTAAGATAATCACTTTTACGGATTTCTGAAAAACCATACATAATTTCTGAAAGTAGAAAACTCTGGAAAACATATTTACTTCTAAAATTTCAATTTAAAAATCTGATTGTAAATATTGATTCAGTATTAAAACGTGAAATATTGTGATATTTCTGCATTAATATGTTGTTACATCCTTAATGTCCACCTTTCCCTGTAGGGATTTGATTTGCACGCAAATCAAATCCCTACAAATGGAGTGAGGGCTTTCATTTTTATTGTTTCCACTGTATCCCATAGCTACAGTCCTTCCTGTCTTTTTTTTCTCTATGTACAATTCTGCCTAGAGGAAAATATGGACATTCCCTATCCTGCGATAAAGCTACAGTCTGAGGGATGGGAAGGAGAGATCCATCACAGAAAGGCATAGGTTTACCCTGCCAATCTGCACAGCTGAGGGCTGTAAAACATACATTCTCCTTCCATGCACCATTTACCAACCCCCTCTGCGCCTGAATAACTCAGTCTGGCTGCTTGTTTCTCAAATCCTGAAGCTCTCTGGCAAATCCTTTAAAAGTCCTAATGTGATGAATTCAGGGAGTTGACTTGCAGTTTGTTTATATCACTCATTTGAAGAGAGCAGAAACATTCTCTTTGACTCTGTGGTGCCATATGATTGGAGGCTGCGGTCTCCTCTTGTATGAGGGAGCATTATACTTAACTTCCATCATCGGTTAACTGCCTAAAATTACAAACTTGATTTTATTTAAATCATTTTGTTTACAGAGTGCCTAAAGGAAAGTTGACATAATGTTAGAAAACAACACAGACGTTCATAAGCATTGTATGAAAGGCGTTTAACTAGTAAAAGTACAGTATGTCACCTGAAAATAGATCACTGAGCTTCACATGTAAAACAGCTGCTTTGAAAGGTCATGCATCTAAACTTCAGAAACTGTTATGGAAAAATTTATGTTTATTAATTCTTGATCATTGACTCAATCAACTGAATGTAAATGTATTGCTCTTGTCATGAAACGTTGAACTTCGCGCTTCATGTTCCGAACTATATTATTATGCTCCGGACCTGGACTTCAAGATACTTATCAACGAAAGACTGGAACCATCCTGATCAACGGAAGAGAACCCTGACTTTCAAACCTATTCTCCAACTAGGACTCTCATTCCACAGACAAGCCCTTTGATGAAGAATGCCTGGTTTGCCTCAGCTCTGCCATAGTTAGAGCTGCTTAAATTAATATTACACCTTCATTTTTCCTCCTTCACTAAAAGATTCATCTGCAACTTGGAGCTTTAATCTAAATTCACCTGATGTTTCAATACACCAAACTGATGTTTTCTGTGTATTATATGGCTTTGCTAACCCTTCCCAATCTCCTTACAGGAACTGCTATAAAATTGTAGAATTGTGAATCACAGTGAATTCATTTCAATATGTATGAAATAGTTTTCTTAAGGTTACAATTGTGTTGATTTAGCTGATTCTATTCTCTATCTCTGTGAACTGCTGTAAGATATTATTGTCAGTTGTGTTGACTTATTGTGTCTATTATTTTATTTGATCTTACCATTTTACTGATTTTTGTATTGAACTTTGTATGGAATGATTCTTTGGACAAGTTAGGATTGAGATCACGATCCACAATAGACAAATGATTGCAGCACCTCATGCTGTGTTTGCCTTAGCGTGTTGATTCTGACCCTTTTATATCTGATCGTAGTGTTCATTACTTTACTTATTATTTTTCTTGTTTTGATGCTTATCATTTTTTGTCTTGATTCGTGATTGATGTAGCTTTCGTAGTTAATGGTGACGAGTTATGGAAGTGGATAATGTTTCTTATTGTTTTACTTATTTTCATTTTCCTCCTTTGGTCTTGTTTTGTTTTGTTGTTTCCCTTTATTTGGTTATCCTATTCGGATAAACAGGAGGGAATATTATGGAAAAATGTATGTTTATTAATTCTTGATCATTGACTCAATCAACTGAATGTAAATGTATTGTTCTATGCCTCTTTGATGCTCACTCATTCTGACACACCCACACAAGCCACTCTCACACACACACACACATTCTTGACTTCCCACACACACACACACACACACACACACACACACACACACACACACACACACACACACACACGCGCACACACACACACACACACACACGCACACGCACACACACACACACACACACACACACACACACACACACAGACACAATCTCTCTCTCTCCCTCTGACTCACCCTCTCTATAAATAAACTCTGTGACCGGATGTTCGGGGCATTTTGCCTCGTACATCTTGCCACAGTTATAACTGTTTGACTTGTTGTTCATTGTCTCCTTTTTCCCTCCGACTATAAGAAATGGGTTATTGATAAACATATTGACATATTGATAAAAATCATGACAGAAAAAATACAATGATAGAAAAGATGAAACTGCTTCATATCTTTATGGAGCAGTGTATTTTGTGCAAGCAGGCACAATAAAAAACTGACCTCAAGTGCTCATTTTGAAATATGAGCCCCAGAATAAATACCTCATAATGTCGGGTCTGAAAGCTCATAAAATGGCCAACAGCTGCTAAGCTGAGACACAACGGGGTCAGACAGGTTGCTGACTAGTGTACACATAAACCTGGAAGTGAATAAACAACTGAATCCTAGAGAAAATGTAACTCGATCCCAGTGTTACAGTACCATCTGTTAACTCTGAGGGTGCTGCAGTGTGTCGAAGCCCCCCGGACGACCCCCCTGACTGTGATCAATCGGCCTTTCTTTCTTCATGCGTTTCTGAAAGCCCCAGGAGGTGCTGAACCCTGACAACAAGAATATTTGCACCAAAGCAACTTGCAAGCATCCCATTTCTCTCTGGCTTTCAGAGGGACAACAAACCGTCCTATTTTAAGAACACCAGGTGAATACATCAGGTGTGATCAACAGAGATCCAGGTGGGGTCCGCAAAGCACTCGCTGCACCTGCTGCCTGTTCTCGCCCACCCATTGGAGGGCAGATTCCTAGGATGCCACAGGGCAGTTGCTGACAGCCACTACTTCAGATGTTTCCCTTGCTTCTATCTACCGCCACAACACAGGGCCTCCGAGGGTCAGCTGCAAAGATGTCGATGGGGGGGGGCGGTGGAGGTCAAGGAGTTGGAGAGATGAGAGGGAGGGGGTGCTGTCGTTGTGGGCTGAATGCCTTCAGCAAGAGGTGAGCATCCCAGTGGTACGATTATACCCCGCCATAATCACTTTCACAATCCAAATGCAGCACAGAGCTCATGCTCATAGGTTTCTGGTGATCATGTTACATCCACTGTGTGTGTGTGTGTGTGTGTGTGTGTGTGTGTGTGTGTGTGTGTGTGTGTGTGTGTGTGTGTGTGTGTGTGTGTGTGTGTGTGTGTGTGTGTGTGTGTGTGTGTGTGTGTGTGTGTGTGTGTGTGTGTGTGTGTGTGTGTGTGTGTGCCCTCTACAACCCCACCCTCTAACCATTATCCTCGTCTCCTGTCCACCTGCCCTGGAAAAACCTGTTGGTGCTAACAGATGCATATGAAAATCTGACCCACTGAATGTTTGATTCTGCAGAAAACGGTTATTTTTATTGACAGGTAGAGTTTCTGTCATTTCACATCGCCTACATAGCACACTTGTGGTGCTACACATCTATCTTTTAAGATTTAGTCTTTCACTGAGTAAGATTTTATTGTAGCCTGTAAGATAAACTTCAGGTTTTAGAAATGTCCTCTAATAAAATAAAACTCCCCACAAAAATAACCTGTATTACTTAATTGAGTTTCAGGACACAATGTTGCACAAAGGTTTAGCCTTTTCTATAAAAACTTGAGCTTATTTTATGACTGCATCTGGCATCGTAACAGAATAAATCAAAGAAGGGACTGATTTGTATAAATAATATTTGGTTTCATCCTGAATGGACCTTAGAGAAATAATCATTAAACTGCTGCTTTCAACGCCTCACTAAAGAGATCACAGAAATGCATTTTCAGGGCCACACACAATCTTACAAAACCAGAATATAATTTCCAGATTATTCCACATTTGTTGGGCAAACATGACTCTGTTGCATTCAAAAGCAGGAGAGCTTCAAAATACGCTGCAGCCTTAAAATGACATATAAACTCTGTAATATGGAGTTGCATCATTCTTTCCAACAGTTTTCCATCTCTTCATCACACAGAGGTTTAAATATAAGGCAGCAGCAAACAAGGCCAGGGTTTAAACTCTCCCTCCAATTAATGGAGTCACCGTATGAGAAACCTGGCAGCCGGCCTTGTTTCAAACGCTGGTGATTCATCAGCTTTTAACCACCGGTACTTGACGGATGTTCCTTTATTTCATGTTCTTAATGGACCTGAGTGAAAAACTTCAGTAGCTGAACAAAACTAATCTCATTTTTACAACAATCACAGATTTTAAACACGGACTTTTAATAACCAACACATTTCCATCTGGATCTTGAATCTTAGAAATAAAATCCTTGGTTTGTTCCGTGTTTATCCGTCTTGTCGCACCAACCGCCGCACGGCACAGCAAAACAGATCAGTCGACAAAACACAGGTGGTTTCTAACTCAACTCCTCACTGGGTCATCGCTTTTATCAAGACCTGATTTTGTATTTTAATTCTACAGCTCTTTTATCTAAATGAACAGAGAAGACCCTAATTTGTAGAACTTTAGATTCTCCAAGCCAACTTCCATGTTTTCATTTCCTTTCTCAGGCTTTTAAACAAACAAAGCTGAAGCTTACACACGACATTTCATTACTAACATGCTGTAAAACACATTATTACTTCCTGTTTGGGGCTCTGTGTTCTCTGTGCAACCACAAATGTACGACACATAATTAACTGACCAACAGCTCAGGTGAGGCCTGATCCAGCTGGTCTTTAGACGTCTGAAGCAGCGGGGTCCAGACAAGTGAAACTTGGGTGTTCGGTAACCTAAGTAGACCCAAAGCATAATAGCAACTACTCTGCAGACCAGACCTCCACCTCACTTCACAGCACTTGTGCTTGACCTTCTTGTTCACTCGGAGTGTCCATTTCCAAATCAAAAGCCAAACAGGTTGTGTGTGGTTAGACGGAATAAAGCTTAGTGAAATGTGACGCTGACGGACCAGCGGAGTTTGATTCCTGTGTAGAAAAATTTCAAACCCTACACAGCATTGGTGATCAAAAAAGGCATTCTGTGTTTATTAATTATCTAATGAATGGATTAATTTTTTTTTTAATTATGATCCCAAAATTTCTTTAATTTAGTTAATGCAATTGTTGAACTTTTTTTTTTTGGGGGGGGGGGGGGGGGGGGGGGTCTGGAATAATCCTGTTTCTCTAAATATTTTTGAGCAGCAATAAACATTTTGAACGTTCCAGTACCCGGCCACTGATGTAGAATGTGAAAAAGTGTATAAATAAAAAATAATTTCTTTAAAAATGAAACTTTGGTAACACTTTACAATAAGGGCCCCTTAAATAATGTTACTTAGTGCATTAATACACAATTTAATAAAGAATTAACAGCTGCTTAACCATAGTATGTAATGCTTATCTAAGCAGACGCTTAACCCTAAACCTTAGGGACACTTAATAGTTAATAACAGGAACGTTGATAAAGGGACTCTTGTTTATTAATGTTTAATAATGAACTAAACGTTAATAAAGGAACCCTTACTTTAAAGTGTTACAAAAACCTTTTGTCAATACATTTTTAATTTTCCCACACTCTCTTGTACGGGTGTGTTTAACACCAAGAAACTGTGAAAAAAAATTGTAAAACAGGTTTGAATCACATAGAGAAGATGCTTTTACGCTGGTTTTGTTCTGTTTTGCTTGTCTTTTGTGATTAAAGTTAAAATATTAAAAACATTTTCCAGGATAATGCTGAAATGCTAAAGAAAAAGAGTCTAAATAGGTTATTTCAAGAAAATGAGGAGGAGAATCTCATTTTGCTCTTGAACCTGAAAGCATTTTTTGTTGTTTATTATTTTTCTTGTAACCAAGAGTCCAGGATGAGTTTTAATTGAATAAACTACAACATATCAAAATTAGACATTTTGTCGAACTAGTTCCAGGCGTGGTTTCTACTCTCACAGAGTCCACAGTCTTCAGTCCTTCAAAGTAAGAGCCTGAAACTTAAACACATATTTTAAAATACTCAGGGATAATTTAATATTATTGTTCTCTTGTAAAACTCATACCAAAGTCTAAACTGGGAATTTTCAGATGTACTTAATGGGTTGTGATTAGCTCCAGATGTGTATTGTGTATGAGCTAAGAAAATCTTATAAAACCCTGAAGTATTAGGCCACCATAGTTCATTTACACAAAGTATTATGGGTATCAAACATATGTGTGCTCGTGCTTTTAATTCTCAAGTTCCCAGTTTGTCTCAAAATAACTTTAATCTAAACTTTTTCACTTTATTTTGAAAATGTTATTGTCTTTTAGCTCCAGATTTCAAATTTAGTCATGAAACTGAAAAACAAAAAAACTGTTGTCTATTTTTTTAATTTTCCCAAGTGGCCCTAATAAGCCTATATGTGAATTTACTCCATCCTATTTTAAAACTTCATTAGAATGAAAGGAAAAGTCGGTCATATCAATATAATGTAGTGTAAAGCGCTTTGGTGTCCTCTGACTCTGAAAGGCACTATACAGGTGTGGGTTATTTATCATTATGAAACAATAAAAAGCATAAAAAATGTACGATTGTCTTTAGAGTAGAAAATAACCCAAATATAACTGGAAATGGGTCTGCTTATATTCTATAAGAGGTCACAAGAAAGATTGTTACCATAAATTAAGAAAATTTCTTTTTAAACTCATTAAAAACATAAACAATTAACTAAATGCACTATTAGATGAGAGTGCTTCGGGCTAAGGTTACACTAACTGGAACATTTTTTATTTTCCTTACAGTTGCAAAACTTCCTAAGAACAAACCACAGCTGCTTGTTGGATTATAGGTGATTCTTCTGCTCCAACCAACCTGCTGTTTACGATCCAGATGTGCTTTAAGCAATATCACATCTTTGACGTCTTGCAAGCATTCTTGAAAAGACAAAATCAGGAGTTTGTTGATTTAAAGAGCGTAATCGGGCAGGTTTCTTAGAGTCGACGGGCACAGAACAAGGAAACGCCTTCATCTTCAAATGAATTCACCGGCAGAAGAACACAAAAACATACAAAGCTATCACCAGAGGACTCTCGGGAAGTGTGGAGGAGCGCTGACATGACAAACTCTTGCTGAGTGGGCCGTGCTGTTTTACTAGTTATTTATTCCTCTTTCTGATTCAAGGGTGCTTTTGTTTTCAAGAAGGAGCATTAAGGTGAACCGACACTAAGGTCCGATCCAAATTCCAGAGAATCTTGGCAACTCCTTGGGATAGATGGGACCCTCATGGCTATAAAACCCCTCAATGGATGAATAGGTAAACAGAAGAGTGTGAAAGAGTGATGGCAAAAAGAGAATGTTCACTCTCAGGGAGGCACAAAGAGGGCGGTGTGTGAGTGGGAGATGGGAGAAAGCCAAAATGTTCAGGGGGGGGGGGGGGGGGGGGGGATGTTGGTGAGTGAGAGTAAAAGTTTTGTCTTTGGGCTTTTGGAGGGTGCTGTGTGTTGCCTTAACTCAATCAAAAGGTGAATTATACATCCCAAGACACTCAGGTAACCTTTCGTTATAGCCCTAATCCTTCTTAATAACGGAGCTGCGATGCCGGCAATGCCCCATTAGACAGAGCCACGGAGAGGAAGAGCCATTATTCCCCACTGGCCTGTAGAAATGTGAACACACAATACCGAGTCCCACAGTGACACGTGAAATCAATCACAGACTCCACTTGAGAAGGAAAAAAACACAGCATCCTCCTGCATAAGAAAACAGACATTCAGTGTGTGTGTGTGTGTGTGTGTGTGTGTGTGTGTGTGTGTGTGTGTGTGTGTGTGTGTGTGTGTGTATGTGTGTGCGTGTGCGTGCGTGTGTGTGTGCAAAGTTCTGCAATCCTAAAATGCTTTTGTTGGCTATTATAATCAAAAATAGGCTTTTAAATAAAGGTGGATTAACAGCTGTCAGTGTTCTCATCTGGAATAATAATCTCTAAAACATTATAATTTCTATTTTGCTTGCACTTTTTGCAATATGTGAGCAATTACTTTAGATTTTTCATGAATTGATCAGAATCTTCCTGCAGGAAAATGACTCCCAAAACTTGTGATTCAAGTTTAAAATGAATCATAGTAAAATGTAATATATTAAATATGTCGACTTGGATTTAAAGTGTTTTTTCCGGAAGATTTAATGCAAAGATAAATAAATAAAATAACAATAAATTGGAACTTACTGAAAATATTTGTAAAAGTGGTTCAGAGAAAAGAGAAATGTAAAGCCAGTCAACCCTTAAATGTGAAGGAAAGTGAGCTGCTTGATAGCATCTAATAAAAGCAGGACTAATGTGGCCTCAATAAATCAACAGACTGCAGAATTTCAGACGCAATTAGGCTTCTTTCTAAAAGTTTAGATTTAAAATAAAGATTTCTGGGCTGTGTGGACATGACTTTATCAGTGATGTATAGACCAAATAAAACGCTGGAAAAGCTCATCTATCATCGTGGCAATTTAATGACTGAAAATAATCTAATGGTTAGAATTAATTATTCGTGTTTTAATATCCTGTTTTCCTTCCAAATGAAACAACTTAAATTACAAATTTAATTACTTTTTTAATAACAACATTTACCTGTACCAGTCCAGTCCGTTCTGATAGTTGCGGTCGAAGAAGTGCGGTTCCGCTCCCACGGCTCTGATGTCCGGATGGACCCGCAGGAACTCCAGCAGAGCACGCGTTCCTCCTTTCTTCACCCCGATGATGAGCGCCTGCGGCAGCTTCCTGCTCCCCTCCCCGAGCGGACTGATTTTACCTGCGAACCGGGGCGACACGACCAAATCCGGTACTGTGAGAGAGTCGGCAAGCTGCAGAACCTTCCTCGAGCGTTCGTGAGCCCGCGAACCTGTCAGCTCCGACCAGAGTCCGGTATCCCGACTAGAGAAGGCTTTGACCGGAGAGGGCAAGGTGCTCCTTTCGGTGAGGAGGATGAGGAGGGTAAGAGGGGTAAAAAGGGAGCAGAGCATGACCGCCGCCTTCCTGAAGATGCTCCGGGATGGGAGGTCCAGTCTGCGGATGCGGCTAGAAGCCATACCGGTCCCTGGGTGGTCGGAGCAGGAGACACAGCCATGCTAGGCGGACATCACCGAGTCTTCTTGCCATGAAGAAACGGAAATATGAGTCTTCATAACACACCTGATGCGAACAGGTGAATGTCCGTTAATTCACATCCATGTGTGCGCCAAATGGTTTTAAACGGAACAACTCTCAGGTGTGTGCGACCGTCTCTGTCTCTGCTCCGCGGATGTGGGATGCTCGCGCGAGCCCTGTCACACCAGCTGCACGTGTATAGAGTTGTAAACTTGTCTCACGTGTCAAGTTCCCTGACGGGCAGCCTATCTACTAATGAGAACAGGAGAAGAGAACTGAACAACCAATCACATTTTAGGTAGGCGGGAACGTTTGTCTCAACTAGACAAATTCAGATAAGTAGAAAATAAAAGCATGAAAGAAAAATAAACGTCAGCATAACTTGGAAAAATGTGCATACTCAAAGCTAAACGTGTGTTTTCAGTTTTCGAATTTCTAAACATTTCCATCCCACCTTCTGACCTGCTTTCTGGCTTTTGGTCTTGCTTACAAAGATAACATTTAAGCAACACAAAAGTAAACACTGTCAAAGTAACAGCAACAACTTAATATCAAATGTAATAAAAATTGTATTAACAAACTATTGTACTTTCTACAAATAATGTACTAACAAAATGTGATTCTACATCAGCATACGTCAAGCTTCATCACCTTAGGGGAAATTAGCTTTTGCAGGTATATAAGTCAAATATTTCTTTAGTACCTTATGAGCAATAATGTGAAGTATTTTTAAATGTAACCATCACTCCTTTCATGACATCAAAATACATCACACACTGCTTCGTGAGGCCACCAAGGAAGATGACCTCTGTCCCAGGCTGCTCTTTATGACACATAGGGTAACAAAAAGGTGAAATAACGATAACGGGGCACATCATTCCTTTACAAGTGAACAAGAACAGAACCAAATGTTTCACATCTGCTCCTGCCTTCTGAGTATTAGCATGAGAATCAGCTACCACTGCTTCAATGCTGCACAGCTCACTGCTTGAGAAAGCGGATGGAGACCTCAGCAGTGGGCTGTATGACCAGTGCCAGATGTCCCCCATGTTGTTGAGACAATGCAAGAGGGTGTCCCACTTTTAACAAATCACACCCCATGTCTTTTCTTCATGTCCCTGACACTGGAGAGGTGTCCAACCCCCTCAAACCAACCATGATGACACCTCTCTTTCTCCTACTGAGGTCAAATGGCTTCCCATCCTGGAATATTCAGACTAAAAACATACAATTTGAAGTGTTTTGTCAGCTCTAATACTGATATTATGCAGAATTGTGTTAAGTATTTTCTTTTTCTGTTTATTATTAATTTTCATTCTCCTTCATGTCGGTTAAGACCCAAAGGTCACACAGTAAACCTTGGGGCTTGGACATGTTAATGGCAGCACACGGAATGCATTTCCACATGAAAAGTACATATTTTTTTACATCTGTCTTATTACTTTCTTAGAAAGTATCTGATAGTTTTACCTACTGTCGAAAGGATCCTGAGAAGAAATGCAAAAGTGTCAAGTCTTTTGCATTTTGAAAAGAACCTAAATGACGTTTTACTAAACCCTTTTAGCTTTAACAGTTTCACCTTAAGTCAGTGGTTCCAAACATGTTGTCACTAGGACACCAGGGCCCTCCCAACCCAAACTCCTACCTGCATGCACAGTTAAACAGGAGCAATTACAAACTGCATACAGACATAAAGAGTTATAACTCACGCAGAGTTTTGAACATACAGTTGGGTGTGTTATTGGAAGTTTGAAAATCTAAGTTTTACAAATATAACCTTTGTCACCTCACAACCTCAGCACAGGCAAAATTGTTGGGTCCCCCTTGGATGTCACAGACCCCAGGTTGGGAACCACTGTAATGGAAGTTGGTTATAATGATTTGAACTATTATTGTCTTATGTGTGGTTTGTGGTTTGTTTATGTTGTTTTATTAAAAATAAATAAATAAATAAACACCTCAAAGTCTGAACTGGTTAATCTGGAGATTTAACAAAAAGTTTATAACACATATGGATCTGTATATTTTTGGGTGTTTTTTTCAGTCACCATTGGTAGTTTAGCAAATGGCATTATAGATTAATTACATAATATCCATGATGGAATGTAATAAAGTACTTGTATTTTGTTACATTCTTTGTTACATTCTTGTTCTTTGTACTAATGTCAGTTTTTCAAGGCATTTTACTCCACTACATCTTAAAGAAACTATATGTATTTTTCACTCCACTACATGTACTAAAAAGTGCCAAAAGTAAAAGTACTTTCATCTGCATTTTATCCAACCCCCACCACACCAGCACACTCCCTTATCCACACCAAACTGCAGTTCCAAAAGTAATAGTACTTTATTTTGCACACTTCTACACACACACGCACACACACAACACATATTTCAATGTTAGTGTAATACTTTTACTGTTTTACTTTAAAATACATTTGAAAATGCATTCTGTAATTTTTTACTTAAGCCAAATATACTTCCACTTTAAGTAGTATTTTTAACCGCTTTTGCTGCACTTTTGAAAAAAATCAAGCACTTCTTCCAGCACTGAAAATGTTAAATAAGATAATTGTAATGTTTTATACATTGTGTACTTTAATTCTTAAAATAACGTATATATTTACATTTTCTAAATTATTCTCAAAAGTGTTCCATAGTCATGTTTGTGTATTTCAGCCAAACTAAACTGGCTCACTTTATAATCTGAAACCTTTGTGATTGTGATGAAGGGTGTTGCTTAGCACAAAAAAGAAGTGTATGACCTTTGATGAAGGTTATTGATTATTTTAATACCACCGTTGTCATTAGCGTCGTCTGAGTTGAGACTACAAAACTGGAGCGTGCCTTGTGCAATGTTAGTGCAGTGACACACATTTGCTTGAGGAAAAAAAATAGTATTTAGTGTGTAATTACACACCCAGACTTTGGTGCTTTTAGAGAAATGTGCAGGCAGTCTAAAGGGCATGTAAAAACGTAATTCGGCTTTCATCTTCAGCATTTATCCAAACTGCAGCACTATGGTTACACTGACGCAGTCGTTTTGGAATCTTGGATGCAGAGTTGGGGTTTTAGGTTTAAATAGGAGTCTAAACACAAACTGTTTGTTATCCTTAGACAATATTGTTGCATTTTACTTTGCATAATGAGCAAATTCTCAAGGAATGTCATGGGAAAGCAAAGCGTGTTCCAAGGCAGATCCAAATAAGGAGCAGCTGAATTATCTGTGCCTGATTGTTGTTTTGTAGAAAAAAAGTAGAAACTTTCCCGAAACTCGTGCGTTATAGCTCTCTCCCATGCACCATCAAGAGCGGGAATATGGTTTCCATCCCCGAGCCGGCCAAGAAGTTGAGTGTCTCAGCCATGCTCATAATCTTCAGACAGGTTTATGAACTGAGGTTTGGGAGCTGTCACTTTGGAGGAGACATCTTTACTGCCTGTGTTACAACGTGATGTTTCCCAACCTGAGAACTACAGATTTAAAACTCTGCAGTTGAAAAAATTCAAGACAAGAGTTGGTCTTTTGAAACGTACACCTTGTTTAGTGGCAAAGCGATTACATGAGTTGCTATGATCTGATGCTGTGCATAAATATCTTGTTTAAAGGAGATTGCCATGCTGCAGGCATAGCGAGAAACAGATGACCTGAATAAAAAAAACGTTTTACGTGTTGCAGGAGTGTAATTTACAGCATGTTCCACTCCTGACCCATGACCACCATCACAAATCTCCATGGGGCAGAATACCTTGACTCCAGGCATTTAAAAAGTGTTTTAATTAAAAATAAACTGGAATATGCCACAAAATCTTAACAAAAATATAAATTTCACCAATGTTTATGTAGAGTAAAAATACTAATTTTGCTGACATGTAAGGGTTCCTTTATTAACGTTAGTACATTATTAAGCATTAATGAACAAAGGATCTCTTGATTAAAGTTCCTGATATTGTTAAATGTTAAGTGTCCTTAAGGTTAGGACAAAGGGCCGTGGGATGACCACTTAGTAATGCATTGCATAATATGGTTAAGCAGTCTTTAACAGTTTATTTAGTAGTTTATCAATGCTTAATAATGTGCTAATAAAAATTCCCTTATTGTAAAATGTTTCCCAAATACTGAATATTTTAACCTGCAAGTCAGGTCTATTTAGAAGCACAAATGCACAAATTTAACAAAAAAATATGAAAAAAGTGATTTTCAATAAAATGTTACAGCTTTAATTTCCATTATTATTATTATTATTATTATTATTATTATTATTATTATTATTATTATTATTATTACAGAAACTATTATTGGCATGCATTAATTACAGCTTTAGTCTCATATAAATAAAAAATGCAAAGAAAAGTTTTTAATGTTCTTTGGACAATAACTAAAAGAGAAGCCCCTTCCAGGGAGAAGCTGTGTTCTTGTATCACATTTAAATGTGATGTCTCTCTATGTGCACACAGTGACTAAATGCTGTAATTAAAACACAGGTGTTTTTTTCCACTCTTTCTCGACAGCAGACATACTTGCTCTATATACACAGCTGTGGGCAATTCGTCGAGGTTGCCTTCTTCTGTTCAATTGGCAGGCCGTGCGCTGAGCAGGAAGAGCTTCTATTGAGCACGGAAACCCAAATAAATCGTCCTCTTAATCAGATTAACGCACGTCTGAAGTGGGCTGTTTCTTCAAACCGTCCCACAATGTCAACATACATCCGATTTGAATAAAACACACGAGCAATTACCCTTCATTCATCAGAGTCTTTAGATTCTTGCACTGTAAGAGATAAAGGAGAGGGGTTTTTCCTTTTTTTAAGTAGGAGTTACTTAAATATCCCAAAGCGAACAAAGCTTATGTCTATAAAAACATGAAGTCCTGCATCTGAAATGAGCCACACAGCGACGTGTGTGTGTTCATGTGCTTTGTGTCACATTCCTTCCTCCTAGAGGCAGCAGGATGCCGCTGATTGTGCGAGACGAAGACCCAGAGGAGAGGAAATGTTTGGGTTGTGAGTCCGCATGTCCATCTCTGTAGCACAGTTATCCCGTTTAAAGACAAGCTGCCAGGGGTATAGTCAGGTTAATTACATATATAGGTGGCTGTGAGAAGAACAATCGTTCCAATTGATCTTTCGATACACTTGTCAGTTGAATCTGAGATTAACGTCATGGTAATTAGAGGGAAAGGCAGCCTTCAAATGCTCTGCAAGGGAAATTCTGTCCTGTACTGTTTCAGCTTGTGACAGACCAGTCCACAGAGATCTGCTTTGTCAGGTGTTTGTTTTGATAAGAAACACATTAATTAAAGTTAGCAGGAAAACATCTTGAAGTCAAT